CTTGAATCATCGTTTTGTTTTACACACTTGTGTAAACAAAAGTGTGAACATTTTGTTGAAAAGAGTTACCGCTTCTAGTAACAAGTAACTTTTAAACATTTCTTGTTACTAGTAAAGAAACAGTAACGTGACACCCCTCCTCGCGAAACGATACATTCATTCCCTAGGCTACTGTCCATGATGAAGTCTCCAGTGAATCCCCGAAAAAACGTGAAATCTCTAGGAATTTCTCAGGGATTCTATGATTTTCAAGGATTGGGAGAAATAATGAAGTCACTCTTTGGGGATTTAGGAAGAGTGTACAACATATTTACCGTTTTTTTTGCGTCTGCAGAAGTCTATAAAACGTGAAAATCTAAACAGGAACATCTCGTTTTTTTAGATTAACTTTTTTATTTTTTAGATAAGTGTATCTGCTTCCGTTAGAGACTCGTCGGCGTTACCGAGTCGTTTTGACGTGAGTTAACTTTTCAGTTGGGTGACTCGTTCACTGGCTCAGCTGAGAAAGCATTTTGGACAGAAAGTGCTAGTTTTTCTTATATAATAAATTTCAATTTGATAAAAGGTCGATGAACAAAAGCTAAATTACACTTGAAGTTGAGATAAGAGTCGCATTAAGTATTTATTCGTTTTTGGGAACTCTGTGAGAAATCCCTAGGGACTGTCGCTAAACTCCCACGGGAGCCGCTAAGCGATTCTCTAACGATTTTTCCAGGGAAAATATATTTTGTATGGTACTTTGATATTCAACAGATTAAAGATACATCATTTACGAGTAATAAATTTAAATTGCATTGTGACTCCCATAGCTGAAGTATGGATTATATTGTTTCTTTAGCTCCACATAAACTTCATCAGTTAATAGCTTTTGCAATCCAGATGGCGGGTTTCGTGCGACATCTATCTTGCATCTTTTACAGAAGTGTTTGCTACTATCACTCTTTTTCTCTGTTCAGTATCTACTTTTATGTTTTTTTTTTAATAGCATTTCTTTCTCTTCTGCATTAATATGTTGCTTATGTGATTGTTTGACCCATGAACTATGATTCTATATTTTACCATATTCGATGTTCTATGGATAGACAGAACGCAAAAGTACTTTATAATACCGTGGTTAAATAAGCTAAAGATATAATAGAGCACTAGCAAATAAGGAGATATCTCTTTTCGCACATGCCTATCTTTCTGTTCTCTTTCGTTTCAATCGACGCGCTGAGATGAAAAAATGTCCGCACACGGGATATCTTATGTGAAAAGAGATATCCTCTTATTTGCTAGTGCTCTAGTAGCTTATATTACCGTTATCTTTGAGTTCATATTACCGTTATCTTTGAGTTCATATTACCGCTATCTTTGAGTTTATATTATTGTTATCTTCGAAAAAATTCATACTTAAGTGGACCAGTAAAAATAAGTAAGTTAGAGAAACGTGCTCACGCTAAGGTCAGTGGGTAGAAAAAGTAAGTAGAGCAAACTATGAGCTTTTGATTGGTATATAAATATAAACATTTCTAGAAGATACAGTTTTCATTAACATATGTTGACTTATAAAACAAAACAGCAGTAGTATTGAGTTCGAAGACAGTCCCAATCCGCAGCAGCATAATCCTACGCGCTAGACTTCAGACCTTCACTGACTAATTTTATGGTCACAATTTTAGAACGGACAGGTTTTGAATTCTATATTTACAGATCACATTCCACTACTATCCATTTCAAAATATAAAGACCAAGAATGTCTTTTGACTAACGTTTGAAGGAAAAACACAAGAGACATATAGTTTTCACATTATGAAAGAGGATGCCCGGAAGCATAAATCTCGGTCCCGATCAGACTAGTTGGCCTGCCTAAAAAAATGTTATTTTTTCTAGTGCAATCTTCGATTTCATCAGGAACTTTTTGGTAAAAATTTCGAAAACATTTTTTTCATCAGCCACTTTCTGCGAACCAAAAGTTTTAGCCCATCCCATCCCTGAGAACAACGGGAAACTCTGCTGGTACATAGGTTTCGGATACGCTGATTACTGTGAGTATGTTTAGTTCTTATCAGAAAAATAGCAAGTTCAAAAGACGTGTTTTCTGTAACGCTCGATTTTTCACATATAATCGTGCTGCAGTAAAAATAACACATAGAATCTTCATTTCTTACATAAAACACTTCAAACTTTCAGAATAAATTTGATTTGGGGTTTTTCATCGATCTGCGTATTGAAAAGACAAACGTTTTGCTAGCATTGAAAAGGTTTCTCAGAAAACTTCTGGAAACTCTTAGTCAGTATTTTTTGCAAAAAGAGCTGTTTTAAGATTTAGACGTGTGCATCACATCAAACTCAATAGAGTCTAAAGGTCTGAAGTATTTTGTATTAGAAATGTAGATTCCATGCGGTTTTTATTGCAGCACGATCATAGGCGAAAAATCCAGCTTTTTCAGAAAACTCGTCCTTCGATTTCTAAAAACAAAATAAACATTGCCATGGAAATTAGCGTGCCAGGAAACAGGTAAGGTTCGTGGATTGCGGAATTTGCGACTGGGATTCGCGCCAAGTGATAGAGCAATATCTGTCTATATCTACCAGCAGTTACAATTTGTTACTAGATAAATCAATCTAGAATAAATGGCTTACCCACACTTTTTTCCGGATAAATGGCTCCTTATCGCGCAAAGAAAAGATGTCTCCTAGGAGGTTATTTCTAGCATAAATGGCTATTTTCTGGAATAAATGACTAAGCCATTTATTGCTTCCTAGAATAAATGGCTTTTGTACTTGCATAAATGGCTCCTATCGTGCAAAGAAAAAATGTCTCTTAGGAGGGAATCTCTAGCATAAATGGCTATTTTCTAAAATAGGCAAATTATGAAGAGAAAAAGCCATTTATGCAAGTAGAAGAACCATTTATTCTCAGAAGTAATAAATGGCTGAGCCATTTATGCTAGAAATTCCATCCTAGGAGGCGTTTTTCTTTGTGTTGTATAAGCCATTTATGCTAGAGAACCCCTCCCGGACAGGTAACTGTACAGCAATTTATTCGGGAAAAAGTGTGGGTATGCCATTTGATCTGGAAGCGGCGCAATTTATTATTATATTAATAAATTGTAAGCCCTCATATTTACCTGCTTTTAGAACAGTACTTCACCATAGCAATTTTTGGAATGGCAGGCGCGGACACTTTTGTTTTGAAAAATTGTTTATCCTCTTTCATAATCTGAAGGTCTCTACTGCTTTTTTGTCAAACGTTATTCAAAAAACATTCTTGGTCTTTGTATTTTCAAATGGATAGTAACAGCTTCTTGTCGAAATCAGTCGGAGCTCTTCAGGATCTAGAAGAAAACTTTTTGGAAATATAAACTGCCCCATTTAGACTATTGTTGTGGCTGCCAGAGGTCGAAATAGGTCAAATTTTTTTTGGTTTTGCGCTCGATCCGACTCAGCTCAGTTTTCGAAAACCTTGACTTAACTCGGTTCGACAGAAATAATACCTTGCTTGATCCGACTTAGTGCAGGTTCAGCTTTTTAGAAAGAGGGATTTTTCTTTTCACAAAATGCAATCTTTTGACGTATTTTTATGTTTCATGATAATGCGTACATGAAGACGATCCAGCAATAACTTTGGATTAATCATTATCTGTTTTTGTGTTAGAAATCCAGACGTTTTCCAACATGTGGCAGGCATACTTTTGCTTATATTATTTATAATATATTCCTCTTTTTTATCAACAATCGTTTACTTTCAGAAGAACGGAAACTTTGTAGAAGAAGATGATGATTATGATGATGCGGACAAATTGTCAGAAGCCATCTTTTCTAGGAATATAAACAACTCGTTCCAGTTTTCAGTCAGTAATGTAAAAGCGCTTCTAATGTGAAAGGTGGAATGGATAGCCGATCGCAAGTGTTTGTGAAGATCGCTAACAGCTACATTTGTCGCCCTCCACAGTTTTGTCAACAAGATAAAGATAGTACATTTTGCTGAATGAAGTTTTCCGTCCAAGCTGGACTTGACTACACTTTTTGGAAAACTTGACTAAGTATTCAATTGACGAATATTCGAGTCGTTTTGTTAAATCTTTTGTCAAGACGTAACTTATGATCACCGAAATAAGTTTCTAATAAGGGGACGAATTGAAACTCGAACAGACATAAGGCTCAGCCAATACAAAAATGAACTAAAATTTTCTTAGTTTATTATATACCATTCGATAGGGTTTTCAAGTTGATCAGGCATAGGTAGTTTTAAATTTTCGGAATTTTTTTTCATGTCGAAAGAAAACTCGAAAAAAGGATGATGAAAGTTAGATTTAAAAAATGAATTGATTCATGTGTATTTCGAAATGTTTAGTTGATTATCATTTTTTGGTGAGAATTTCGGTGGTTTTTCAACGTTAAAATCCGAAAAACATTAAAGTACTCGGATACTATAGAGATACATATCAGTCGATTCATTTTTTGATCCTGATTCAAAATATGATATTTTTGCTGCTCAAAACTTCAGTTCGATCGACAAAATTGAGAATTACGGGCAGAATTCCGAGTTTTTCGTTTCTGATTTAGAAAAAATGTCTCAGCAGTGATACAAAATTTAAATGAAGCCAAACATACTTTTAAAGCTGAACTTTCAGCAAATCTACTGAGATGCAAATAACGCTTTCGGCCTTTAACACAAAAAATTAGATAGGTTGACAAAATGACGTACGTTATTTCTCATTGCTTCTTTCGGACGTCCATGATAGACGGGCGTTTATCTCTGAAATGCATCTAATATTAGTTTTCAATTCAGTTTGTAACGTTAAATAAGAAAAAATGTTTTTTCGAATTTTCTTTCGACATGAAAAAAACTTTAAAATTACATATGCGTGATCAACTCGAAAAACTCTACCGAATGGGTATATAATAAGTTAAGAAAAAAAATTTACTTCATTTTTGTATTAGTTGCATCTTAACTCGATATATAATTATCTGAAAATATAAACAAAATTTTCGTTTCAGATTATAGAAAAGAAATGATTTTGTCAGTTTTATTGTCATCAATTGCAATACTTTTAATTGTAATCTATTTCTACATAAAATGGAAATATTACACAGTACGTGGTACAGTTCCTGGTCTAGAACCAGAATTTTTATATGGCAATCTTCGTCAACTTGGCATTCTTTCATCAAATAAAGAATTAATTGATTCATATACTCATGGTTGTGAGCGAATGCAAAAGCTCTATGGAGATGTATTTCAACTTTGGATTGGTATTAATCATTATTATGTATTTTGTCATCCTAATCATGCTCAAGAGATTTATACTAATCGTAACATATTTGATCGTGCTGAAGTTCGTACAAAAACATTTGGTTTGCTAACTAAACATGCACTAGTTACACTTATTGGCCCAAAATATAAACGACATGCAAAAGCAGTTTTACCAATGTTAAAAAAACATAAATTTATGTCACAACTTCCTATTATGATCAATTCTGTTGATAAATTAATTGCAATTTGGAAACAACGATATACAAATAAAGATAGTACAATTTGTACATGTTTAGTGACTGATAATCAACAATTAATGTTAGATATGTTTACATTAATTGCATTTGATTATGATTGTGGTAATTTAAATAATTTATTAAAATCTGCTACATTATCCAATATTGAAGATAAACCTGCACTATCTGACTTGGGTAATGCACTCACTATTTGGTTAAATGCA